GAATCGTTACAACAACAACTTTACATTTTGGTTCGTATTTTTTTTTGGTACCGCAGGACTTCTTTCGTGAAACAGATTCTTGTTTATACTTGAGACTAATAAACTTTTTGTAATAACTAATAAGGCCAAATAAGCACGGGATAAGATGCTCAGAAAAAAAAAACTATTGCTCACATCTCAGATTAAGGAAACAATGGTTTATTTTTATAAATAGTATAACGAGTCACAGTAAGTTTATTATTCTTCTGATAGTGTTAATGGCTTATCATATTAATCATCAAGTAGAACGTAGAGATTAAAATTTTTTGAACCGATTTTAATATAGAATTCAATATCTGCTATTTTTATAAACATTATATTTTATGAGATTATGCCTTAAATTATACCTTTTAATATTTTGAAGCATTAGTTAAAATATAGTCATCCTTTTTTTAGTAAGTCCAAATACCTACAGTTTTATATTCGTTTTAGTGCAATAAAAATTGTTAACTTTTAAGTTTAATATTAAATCACACACCAAAAATATTGTTCATAGTACATAAGGGTAAAAATTTCTATCTTTAATATAATATATAAAAAAAACTATAAAATTACTAAATGTCATACAATAGAAGATACAAATTTCTTATGAATGAATATGAAGAATTAATTATTAAGCTAGCATATATTACATTTATGCCTACATGAAAGTTGAATAAATATATATAATATGGAAAAAATATTATTATTCATATTTTTGCTTAGGGTTGGAAGAAGCTGATGTTTTTACAGGATATTAAAGAATAGCCATGTAAAATAAATGAGCTGAGCCTAACCGAAAATTATGAATATAAGTGAAAAAAAAAATGTAAAAAGAGTTTAAAATTATTGTTTTACGATTGGATTATATTATCCATTCAGTGTTGTTTTTAAGATTAATCTAGGTAAACATAAGACCCAATGAAATAATTGTTTGAGAAGTAAATTAATTTCAACTAATTACTTGTTATGCGTACAAATTTTTGATCAGTTCATACTTAACTATGTATTGTAATATGCTCCAAAACTGGTATTTTAAGCGATAGCGGCACTGATAAATATAATTAAAAAATTCTTTAGATCTTTGTTTACTTTACATAATATGTCAATTCGGAATACTTTGGAATGTATTATTTTAACACTATAAATTCTTATACTTTAAACCACATGTTCAACTCGATATTAACATATTATCGCTTCTAAACAGACCACATACTTGTTGCACACATTGTATTTCCATTTTACTTCTTTGCAACAAAAAATGTTATTAAGAATACGTTAGTCCCATGTTTTCGTAAACTGTACACAGCAAAACGTTACAAACAGAATGTCCCAAAATTATATATTAATGTGCATGTCATTTTATTCAATAAATATCTGTTGTAAATGTTCAATATTAAATAAACTAATAAAAACTATATTTATTATTTATCTTTAGTACCGTACCAGAGTAAAGTGACAACCCCAATGAATAAATGCTAGCACACGCATGTGGATAACCACACGTCCACTGCTGGGCTTATAGCCAAATACTCGAACGCTACTCAATTTGAATATGTCATTGAGTCTCATGGTGTCGCAGTCACTTTGACTTAAAGTGATAAAGACAGCACGAGACTTAACGGCATCTTAACATTGAGTAGCATTTGAGTATTTGGACATTAGTGTTCATATTTCTGATGATTTTTAACTTAAATATATTTAATATAGATAAAAAGCTTATAATTTAAATACAGTTATAAAGCAGTGAAGAGTGTTACCCCCAATGCTTTTTGCGGATTTCACATCTTATCTAAACGTGTATTTTGAATTTATTGGACAAGCTAGTTTCCTGATGTGGTTTCAACATATTATGTAATAAATTAGTACTTAAAATATTGCAATATACAATTTCATCGATGCTCGTGGACATAGAACTTATTAGCAACGTTAGCACCCACCATGGCTTATTCCCACAAATTATTCTGTTTTTATTTTATTGCAATAGGGTGTGTTCGAGTGTGTTCCAGTAATCGACGTAACGTTTACCCCATTAGTATGCTAAGAAAACAAACTACATATTCCAAATAGAAAGAGCCAATATTTGTAGATAAACGTACTTACAAAATGTGATGTTTGGAGGTATATTCAGTCCCAAAAACCCAAAAACCACATTGAACTTTATCAATGTCCCTTGTCTCTGATACGGCTATAAACGAAGATTATAGCTCAAACCATATAGGTACCACTTAATTGGGAAAGTAATGACTTTGTAGTAATATCCTGCTCCAATGACAGCGTCTCGTCGCTTGGAAGGTCAAAATGTCAGTGTTTAAACAATCAAGTAAGAGCATCCGCATTTACCGAGGAGTATGTACAAACGCCGACACTACCTCTATTAAGAAGCAGATGGGCCGATTTTATAGAATCAATTATGGAATTGTTGTAAATCTTTAAAAGTTACAGGTTTTATATAATCTAAGTTTACAGGACCTTAAAGGTGACTGGTCGATTCAAACAATGAATATTGCAATGGGCATAATTAGTCCCGTAAAATAAGGTCTGAAATCAAAAACAATGTGTAAAGGTTTTCGTGTCTGCAACCCACCGAAAACGGTAAAAATTAGACAAAAAGTTCTTATAAAAATGTGTATGTAGAGCTTAAAATTTTACATAGAAAACGTTTTATGAATTCTTTTCATCCGGTCAAAATTAACCGAGTAGGAAGGTTTTAAGTTTAAGGGATGAACGTAAATTATAAATAAATCATAGATAAGTAGTAGAAAATAAGTGAATTTTTTCAATTTCTTAAAAATCTAATGTTTAATTTTAGTGTTACATATTTTTATCGTTAAAAAATATCAAATTATAATTTGAATGCTTAAAAATTAATGAATTATTTGTATTTTGCCATTGACAAATCTCTGAAAAAATGCCAAATTTTTTTCGGCACATGTGAATTTAGACAGGTATAAAATTATTATTTTATTTTAACAAAGTATCCCTAAAAATTAAAGATTAGATTTTTAAGTAATTTTAAAAAAAATCAAAATTCTCTTATTTTTCTGATATATTATACGATTTTATAAAATTCATCGCTTAAACTTAAAACCTTTAAACTCTGTTAATTTTCACCGGAGGAAAAAATAATATAACACCTTTTTATGTCAAATTTTAAGCTTTTTAACATCTTTATAAGAACTTTTTTGTCTACTTTTTAATGTTTTCGAGTAATTGCGAAAAATCACTAGACATTTTTTTCAACCCTTGAAATGTAAAGTGATATCAGACCTTATTTGAATGGACTATAATCTAAAATTTTTGACTTACACATGTTCTTACATATACGACAAAGTATTCAGCTTTTGCAGGAAATAGAGCTACGAATCTAAGTAGGATTTCTCTTAGCTATTATTATTGAAAAAGGCGAATGCAGATGTTCTCTTGATATGATTTAAAGAGTAAGAAGTACAATACATACAGGCAAGAAAGTATTGTACCATAGTTTTATAGTCCTCCGGGACGAAATGATGTAACCGCAGCCTTTTTCTTTGAAATTGGCTGCAAGTGTGCCGGGTTGCTGAGACCACTTACCACCTGGCAGACTGCCAGCTTAACACTCCAATCTCATAAGAAGGTACATTCACCTGTGTTATAACCTGTCTGTATAAACCTTATGTCTAATTATTATATAATTTATCAGTTAGCCAAGAAATTAAAAAGAAACAGTAAAAATAAAGCACTTTGTTTTTACTGTGCTTCTTTTTATCCCCTTTCGTTTGTTCGTTTTATTCGAATTACAAATTTCGCGTAAAAAATTGTAATATTGTGACTAAAGCTAACACAAGCCAAAAGCGGATTTTATGTTTAAGGCAAAATAAAAACAATCTCTTCTTCCGTCTGTCAGATTTCTATTGCATAATTAGCGTCTAACCGGACATAAATGTTTATAGATTACACAACACGGCTTCAAAAACCAACCTCTCTATTGCTATAAATTTAATAAATATTTATTTAGATTGGTTAAGATTTTTTCTAGATACTTACCATAATATTCTTAACAGGAACCGTAGTAACTTTATTCCACAATCGCTACATAATAGTAGTACAAGTTATGCTTACGACGCGTGCCATTGGCATACCCAACTTATACAATCTGTAAAATTGCGTTCATTTATCGACGTTTCACGCACAATATCATTTAATATACTTTATGCAAATCTAATTCGTAGTATACACAAATAGATAACGTGCAAATTATCTCAAAAGAGAAACTTACTCGAATGGGACGCTAAATTTAAAAACGATGATATAACAGAACATTTATTTTAAATTCATTGTGAACATTTCATTTCTTTAAATACGAAGCATAAAACGTAACAGTTGAAATGAATCTGTTTTTAGAAAACCATTTAATCGGTATTTTTCTGTCGTTTTCAAAAACTTATTGTCTCCAATCTACTCGAGATAACTTTCAAACGCTATCAACTGTAGTATAACAGTTATATCTTCTTGTTGATAGGCCGTTCGGTATATTTGGTTACGTCGCCTCCTCACGGTAAAGAATTTACATAATGCGCAACAATGTCATTCATAGTGTGTCGATCACAATGCTGAATATTATATTTGATGGCAGACGTAAAATATCCAGATAGCGTCTTATATAGTTGACAGTGTCACAGTAATAAAACAACATATAAACTCCTCATTAACCAATAACAGTATAAAAAGAAATTACAAAATTAAACAAAATTTTACAAGATATCATCTGTTTAAACTTTTATTACTAAAGTTTTATATAAGGTATATGTATCAGTAAATATGATACAAGTGTAAAAGACTATTCAAATAAAAAACAACTGAAATCTTAAGACAAGTTTTAAAACATTTATTGATTTACACTTGAATCTACTTAACGATTAGAAAACAAGTTTGTTTGTTTCATATTAGAGTATTAAACTGAACGTCACTACTCACTGTCACCGCAACTAAACCACAAAGTGTCACATTCTAGGCACCACTAACGCTTTAAAAGGTGCAGCAGATGGAGTAGCACCATCAACGTGCTCCAAGGAGGGCAGAGGCTCCCCCGGGACGGGCAAGAAAGAAAATTTCTGCAGCATACTGGTTGTGAACACGAACATGTTACATTTAGCGAGCACGTCTCCCATACACCTGTGCTTGGAAAGGCCAAATGGGAAATAGTACTCTGGGAGGAAAACTTTGCCGTCTACCAGAAATCTTTCGGGCCGGAATGAGTACGGTTCAGGGTATAATGACTCATCCATCAAAATATTGGTGTAATTGCTCACCACCATTGTGTCCTGTAAATACACATAAAAAGAGTTGTTAAACATAATATTAAAAATCTGAAAACGGTTGACCCTGCCGGTTGATGGAGGCCATCCCTGGAAAGTCCGCGCTTATTTTCGAGTGTAACACTCCAAAATCTGTTTAAGTATTGTTTTTATATCATCATCATTATCCTATCATTACAGCCCTTCACAAGTCCACTGCTGAACATAGGCCTCCCCCAAGTAATGCTACAAAGCACGGTCCTGAGCCACCTGCATCCATCGACTTCCTGCATATCTTACCAGGTCGTCACTTCATCTAGTGGGGGGACGCCCTAAACTTTGCCTGTCGGTACGAGGCTGCCACTCGAGAACCTTTCTTCCCCATCGGTTGTCGGTTCTTCGAGCTATATGGCCGGCCCATTGTCACTTCAGCTTATTAATCCGTTGGGCTATGTCGGTCACTCTGGTTCTACTGCGGATATCCTCATTTCTACGTTTATCACACAGAGAAACTTCGAGCATAGCCCTCTCCATAGGTCGCTGAGCGACCTTGAGCTTCCTCATCCAGCCAGCAGTGAAGGACGACTTCTCAGTTCCATAGGTCATCACTGGCAACACGCACTGGTTGTACAGTCTCGTTTTCAAGTTTTGAGGTATACCCGACGAGAAGATGTGCCGTAATTTCCCGAACGATGCCCAACCGAGTTGAATCCGTCGATTGACCTATCGGTCGAAGTTGGACTTACCTAGTCGGACTATTTGTCCCAGGTAAACATACTCGTCAACAACTTCGTGCTTAGTGCTCCCAACAACTATCGGCATAGGTGTGACATGGACATTAAACATGATCTTTGTTTTGTCCATGTTCATCTTAAGACCTATCCGTTAGGAAACACTATTGAGATCATTGAGCATAGTGCTTAGGTCCTCCAGCGATTCTGCCATAAGGACTATATCGTCGGCAAAACGAAGGTGAGTGATGTACTCGCCATTGATGGCGATACCGTATCCTTTCCAGTCCAGAAGCTTGAAAACGTCTTTTTAATGCAGCGGTGAAGAGTTTCGGGGATATGACGTCACCCTGTCTTACAACTCTCTGCAGTTGGGTAGGTTTCGTACTCTGGTTTGTATTCGGATAGCCATCGTAGCCCTACTGTACAAGCACTTCAACACATAGATATACCGACAGTCAACTTGGCATCGCTGAAGGGACTGCAGCACCGCCCAAATTGTGAGAATCAAAGGCTTTCTCATAGTCCACATACGCCAGACATAGTGGCAAATTGTACTCCTCTGACTTCTGTACAATTTGCCGAAGGGTATGTATGTGGTCTATGATGTTAAATCCTTTTCGGAAACCGGCTTGTTCGGGAGGCTGGAAGTCGTCAAGTCAGGGCGCGAGGCGATTCATATTGACTCTCGAAAACAGAACGTAGACGCGGCTCAGAAGGGAAATCGGTCTGTAGTTCTTCAAGAGAGCGTTGTCGCCTTTCTTGAAGAACAAGACCACCGCTCTTCTGCTCCACGCCTCCGGTGTAATGCGGACGGATAACGGAGGACAGAATTAAAGAGCTTCTGAAGGACTTCAAGTGCCGGTTTTCCACCCGCTTTCAGAAGCTCCGCTGTAATTCCATCCTCGCCTGGGGCCTTGCCGTTTTAAGGTGCTGGAGAGCCATTCTAATCTCGCTCAGACTGACGTCCGGGATATCATCGGAATTGTTTTTTATATTTTTTAATTTTTATTTTTTGAATATCTTTGGAACGTCTCGACCGATTATCTTGAAAATCTCAATGAACATTTTCGAACGCCCATCTCGATTGATTGATTCGTTCTAAAGATATCGTACAACAACATTTTATTTACACAAACGTAGAGATCTGTTGTAAATTAGCATTCTCAAAATCGAACCAAAATCTAGAACTTACTACTTTTGAAAATTATTACTTTTCAAAGTGGGAAGTTAAAAAGAAACACGTAACTTAGTCGCATAAATTACTGTAGAAAATTATTAAAGTATCGATCAACATTAATTTAACCCCAATACTGGGTACAGATCTCTTCTGATTTATGGAGAAATACGTTACGAAGTATTACTGAATCCGACCCGCTGCTCCAGTACCTACGAACTGGTGTAGATACTCATACATTGACAATTTCTCACATAGAAAAGGAATGATAGCACATGAATGTAGAAAATCAGCTCTAAGAATGAGCCGATTAACAATTTTACAGTCTTGACACACTATAAAATTAAAAGCAAGCTCTTGAGCTAATAATAAGGATTAATTATTTGTAACACGGGTGTCTTGCATCTATGTAATGCTTAATGTTATGTATTCATTAACACAAATGAACTTTATCTCTCAGTTAATTACCTATCAGAACTGACAACCATTCACATAATCTATGTAAATGGTGGAGCCAAGGTTTTTGTAAAATCCAAAACATTTATTAATACTTTTGTGTCAAATTTGATCAGGTTCTTCACGTACATCTGCTAACTAACGGTTCAGTGGCGCAGTGGCTTAACATTGAATTGCGACACTCAGGGCTGCAGGTTCCACGCACGGAACAAGTACTTACATAATTATATTACCTACAATTATTTGTTCCGGGTCTACACCCGGAACAAATAATTACATGTTTGTAAGCTATCTCCATGATTCAGGAGAAAATCCTAGTATAGGTGTAACGTTTAAAAAAGTAACTTGTCGCATTTCCATACATAATACATTGGATACTGACAAGGTACCAGTTCAATCACTGTGCTCTTGCCGTCTGCCTGAGTACGATAAGCATTTTTGTCCATATGGTATTCAAATTCCCTGCAGCGATATATTCAGATTCCTGGTGACGAATCTGTATGAAAATTTGTTATTTTAAAGAAGTTTAAGAAATATTCAATTATTCAGAATAAGAAGAAACGGTAAGCGAGACTGTCGATTGAATCAAATGTACGCCATTTTCTCTAAACGATATTGACCTTATTTACTTCACTCTTGATTATTCCGGTAGTATTATGAGATCAGAAGATAACTAGATCTATAGCATTCAATAGAACTAATAAAACATATTATATAACATTAACATTGAACAAAACACAGCCCGCCCTGCACCATTCATCATTTACTAGATCACCAAATTTCGGACCGGTCTAACTTGGTACATAAAATATTTGTGCAAAAATTATAGTGATTATCTCTATATCTTGAAACTACATTCAAACTTGCCCATTTGTTCCTTAAATTGTTATATCAGGCGCGGGTAAGGTAGGACGAGTGATTGCATCTGTACATTCTCGTATCTCAGCGCTGCTAAAGAAGTCTTGCTAATTGCCTTTTGCAATAAAAGACGTTCGATAATATTCGGGCATTGTTGGAATTGATCAAAAAGCAAAACTATCATTATCAAACTCATCATCATCATCATTGTTTCAGCAGGTTAATATTGTTGTGCATTTTAAGTGAAAAATCTCACCTCTGGTATATTATATCCTGCTAGCGTTGTATTTCGAAGAGCACGATGTGGAACCCCGAAAGTTCTTCCCATAAAGTGACGAACTGATTCATGTACCACTGCTTCATTATACGGCATGCTAAAAAGTACAAATTATTATATTAACTTAAATTTCATAATTTACTATGCAACGGAATATGTAACAAGTAATTTTCTTAACAATATGAAACAATAAATGATGAGATAATTTGTTTTTAAATAATCTTACTTGGATCGATCCTCTAAAGTCGGCATCCGATTTTTTCCTACAACTCTATCGATTTCTTCTTGAGCTTTTCTTTGCACTTCTTGGTTACGAACCAAATAACTGAATGCAAAACTCATGCTCTTACTTGTAGTTTCTGTGCCAGCCATAAACATGTCCATACACATTGCCACTAGCTGACCTTCTGAATAGGTATCCTTTTCACCATTTTCTCTAAGCACTCGTAAGTATACACCCATAAAATCTGTGATCTCTGTACCAGCGTCTAAATTTTCTTTATGTTTGGCAATTTCGTCTCTCAAGAACTTCCATAATCTTTTATGGATTCGAATAAATTCTTTGTAACCAGATAAAGTTGGTGCAATTATGGATAGAATAGGGAAATGACTGAAAACAGCACCTACCATATCAACAGCCCGAAACAAATCGAACATAAGATCTTGAAGTAGTTTCAATTGCGGGTCACTTGCTTGATATCTTATTCCTGCCATCATTGTCCACAGAGTGTTCAAAATATAGGTATTAAAAAAATTATGCATGTATATACAATTTTTGTTGTCGCCACTATTTAATATCTCTTTGACGTCGTTTATCATGTAGCAAGCTTCATTGTGAGCTATTTCTCCCATACCTTTTCTTCCAAATCCGAATTCTTTCAGATGTTTTATTAGAAATCTTCTCTGTTCTTTCCATAGCTCTCCGTCAGTTAATAGGACCCCTCGCCTTTCGCCCCATGTCCGGGTTTGATAAAATATACCTTTCGGCCTACCATCGATATCCTCATTATGCAACATCTCCTTATTTGCTTCAAGGGAGTTAACCATAACAATTTTGTCTTTACCAATTTTAAGACCAATTACAGGCCCACCATCGCAATACATGCTGGATAATTCTTTAACCGCTTTATAAAGATATCCAGTTTTTTCTCGTAACTTGTAGACTTCGCTGGCACTACCAATGATAGGAAGCCATTTTGGACCAGGAGGAAAATTTCGCGGTTTGAAAGAGCTCATGCCAAGCAGTAGGAAAATAACGCATACTGCTACAAGTACCGTTAACCACATCTGAAATGAAACATGAATATTCAGGTACTTCGCATGGATTTTCTATTAAAAATTGCAACATTAGTGTTTGTTAAGAGTTTGATAATCCATATTTGGATACATACCAAAATTTGGCACGTTTTACATGAGAGTTGGCAACTAGTTTTTTTACTATCATTAATATATCATTAAGATGTTACTGACCATCTTCTTGTTCAGTATCCCTTTGTCGTCTATTGCGATACCAACGGTAATTTTAATCGAGGATAAATATAGATGTATATAGGTGTAGGAGAATAAAATAGTTATAAAACAATTATTGTTTCACTTTTATTTTCAGTCAGGTTATAATTTATTTCATGGATAATTTACCTGACGGTTGTAATTCGGCCTTAAATTATATAGTCGGAGAGCTGGCCAAGCCTTACTATGTTAAATAAACTTAAAATAAACAAACGATATACACGGATATTTACATGGTCATATGTGCGCATACATACACGCTAAATCCAAAATTAACAATAATTTAATTTTAAAATCTAAAAAAAAGTTATGCTACAATTGCTCTCACACAAAATACGCTGGTGAGAGCAGAGCCGGAACTATACTGGAAACACGCAGTTTCTCAATAACCAATCACAGCGCGAGGAGCTTGGGCCCCCATCAGCAGCCGGCATGCCTCGATAAGCTATCTTTGTCGCACTTATTTTTTATAGGATAAGGGTGTCAAACGAGCACACAGTCCACCTGATGGTGAGTGGTTGCTGCGGCCCATGACATTTACATCTATCCTCGATTACGAATCAAAATGCAGATGCGTTGCCACCCGTGAGGACTAAGATGGAAAGCCTCGTTTCCAGTAAAAATGGTCTCCGGACACTCACCATGCGAAACACAGCAGTGTTAAGTTGCTATTTTACGTTGGTATTCTGTGAGAGCGTGGTCCTTCCACGGTCGATCCGACCCATTCTTGCTACAACTATACTACTAATATAGCTGCAGCATGGCTCTACCACGTAACAAGCTTATGGCATAAAACTTTTTTGTAGTATTCACTAACTAAATTTGTTTGTTTTGTAAACTAAATTTCTTCGCTAAATTTTTCTGGCTATTGGAAGGTATTATTAAAATTACTCAATAAATACGTGATTAAAATTTGAGATTGCCTAAATTATATTGGTTGGGAATTTTAATAAAATATTTTTGGGAAGTCTGGTAATACTTAATAACCGATAAAAACCTCAGGGATCTTTTTTTGAATTATATAAAAACTAAATCAAAAGATAAAGAAAAAATCATCAGGAATCAACAGGACCTTCCCAAAATTCATCACCAGCTCTTGGACTAATAGTAATATTGACATTGGTGATATATTTAATTGATGATGAAAAATTTAATAAATTAAAAAAAAAATTATATTAAGTTTTTTTTAATAATATTTAAAAACAGAACGCAACGAAATATTTTACTCCGTAGGTTCTTGTCTAAGTAAATAACACGTTCGTTAGGTCACTAGCTTATTTCTAACGCAAGGCATTTTATACAAAATAAAAATATTTCAATACAATCGCAAGAAGCTTATAAAATAAGTATTGGGCATACCACTAGATGTTTAACTTTTTATTTTTAACATATTTTATTTAAATAAAAGTTTCAAAAATAAAGAGACACGTTATAACGAATATTGATGCCAAAATTATCATAATTAAAGTATTCATTAAAATATACATGGGAAGTGTTAGCTTGAATGTACGAATTGTATTATAAAATTAATAAAACCAATTATTACATTAAGGAAGATTAAGGAAAACTACAAAAGGATAGAGAAAGCGAAGGGAAAACATATATTTTTTTCAAGATATTCAATATTACAGCATTTTATAAACGTTACACGTACATACTTACTTATTTCTCCATTTTCTTATTAATATGCGTTATAACACAATAGAAATCAATGCAAAATTACTGTTACTACCTTTTTATTATTAAAAAGCGAAAATTTGCATAATCGCCAGCACAAAAATGTCAAACCGGAACAGTGTAACTTGTTTTCAAAACCTAACATTACCTTTTAGGATTGTAGCGAGCCGCCTGCAAGCTTTCACTGGACAAAGTCCGAAAACGTACGGTGTATTATTTGCCACCCTGCCAACACACGCGTTACACGCATGTGCAAACGACGGAACGCTACTCAAACTATCGTGTAATACACCATAAATTTATTTTCGGCGAGTCTCCTCGCCGTTTCGACACCACTCACTCTCAACTTTCGTCTGTAAACTGATATAATGCAATTTAGCGCGTGCTAGTAAAAGCAAAAGTTATTTGGTTATAGGTGGGGCAAGAGTTTTAAACCAAAGGTGGGCACTTCTTTATGGACACGCTCGTATTTGCTCGTTTATGATAACGGGAAATATCTTATGATTAAACAATTAACGAAAGTAAAAACCAACTTAAAAACTAAAAAGAAAAAACAACTTCCACACTATAGGTTCTACAATTAGCACAAAGACAGTATTTAAAAAAGTAACGCCCTGATTATAGACGCTATTGTGCTGATTATATTGATCTTCTTTTTTTAATTCAGTTTTAATTATATTAAAAAATTACTTAAGTTATATCACAACGTCAAGACAACAAATAGCATGTTATTATCTAGTTACATTAAAAACTACATCCCAAATTTTTCAACTTGGAATTTTTATTTTAATATTAAAAAATGGTAAACCCTAAAATATTACATAAGCGATACTGCTGATCCTATAATACAGAGTTCAAATTCCGGGTTGAGTCAAATCGGTTTTTTGACATAATGATTATTTTGAATATGCCTTAGTTGGAATATGCGTTATAAGACCTAAATACTAAGATGAAATTTTCCTTACCAGCAAAAAGGTCTCGGGCTTTTACACTCAACATACGAAACAGCATTAGGCCCAGGTCGAGCCGAACCATTCGTATTATAGCTATGTGGCGGGTGGAAGGAAAAGGGGAGATTTCCTGCCGAGCAAGGTGTTCTGCCCGGGGAGCGGCCAACGCTTCAAGTGGTAGTTCGGAGCTATTCTATATATACTGCTTTAACTTCGGAACTTTGTTAGCGCGATTTAGGCTTCGATGCGTTTCGCTTGTGGCGCGACGACAGCGCCGCCACAGCCATAATATAGCAGTAGCGTGACCCTACCCTGTAGCCCTGTACAGCGCAGATGGCTTGTCTCCCTTATGATTGGCCACCATGACTAAAATTTGGGGTGAAAACATAACATAATTAAAAAAAAATATTACTCTATCACGTTCAAATAATGCACTATTTTTTTATAGGATAGGGTGACAAATGAGCACTCAGTCCACCTGATGGTAAGTGGTTGCTGTGGCCCATAGACATCCACATCTAGCCTCGTTTGCGAATCAAAATGCAGATGTGTTGTCACCCGTGAGGTCTAAGATGGAATGCCTCTTTTTCAGTAAAAAGGGTCTCCGGTTCTCTACACCCACCATACGAAACACAGCAGTGTTAAGCTGCTATTTTACGCTGGTATTCTGTGAGAGCGTGGTCCTTCCCCGGTCGAACCGACCCATTCGTGCTGCAACTATATACTAATATAGCTGCAGCATGGCTCTACCACGTATAACTATAACCTTGAAAAAAAATTAATCCTTACTGCCATTTCCGAGAAATCGGTGACCATACATAAAATAGAAATACAGCTGTACTGTCGAGTCGTGACTTCGTCCGCATATAATATAATATTGCTTAGTTTTCTTTTACGCGGGGTAAGTTAGTAATTTGTATAATGGTTTAAACCTTTATTATTCTCAACCAATTCTCAATTTTAAGCAGTAGTACTAGTTTCATTACAAATAGTAATAATGTGGCTCTCAGTTAGCAAAGTTTATATTTACGAGTACAAGGTGTAATTTCGTCAGAAAAACAGAATAAGAACAAGGCCCCCACAAAGAAAGTAATGTGAAACATATTATATGTGTTTAAAAATCGAAACTTACGGTATGCAGTAATAAAATACGAAAAAGAAAATAAGGAAAAGGTAGCTAACTACTCTATTTTATAAAAGCATAAATTTTATTGGATTGAAAACTTCAATGGTAAGAAAGGCGCGATAATTTGTTGACCGCGTAATAGAATTCACTACGTTACGTTCCGTGGGTGGCATAAGAGGCAGTGGACTTTTACGGGCTGCTGAAGATTTTTTTATAGGATAGGGTGACCAACGAGCACAAAGTCCACTTAATGTTAAATGGATGCTGTGGCACATAGACATTTACATTTATCTTCGTTTAGGAACAAAATGCAGATGCCGTGTCACCCACGAGGACTACGATGGAATGCCTCGTTTCCAGTAAAAACGGTATTTGGTTCTCTACAATCACTATACGAAACACACCAGCATTAAGGTGCTATTTTACACTGGTATTCTGTAAGTACGTGGTCCTTCCCCTGTCGAGCCGACCCATTCGTGCTACAACCATAATATAGCTGCAGCGTAGCTCTGCCACGTAAAGATGATGACTTTTTGAATATATTTTTTTTGTAAAAAGGTAAGGTAACAAAAATAAACTTTTAAAAACACTTTAAAAACATCTTAGAATAAATTAGGATTTTGGTTACTTTAGAAAACATGCTAAAGGCATAAAAGTCGGTAGATAGGAAACCCGGAAATGGGCTTTGTCATCTTATTGGGTAGTGATTAACGAATCTCCTAAGCGTTAGGCAGTACAAAGGGACGCGAACAAAGGCCAATTCTAATATAGGAAATACAACAGGAGATTCCAATTCCGATCTCGGAAATACATCAGGATAGCATTAATTATTAAAAATAATAAAAGTTTTAGAGCGGATGTTCAACTTGCCCTCTTGCTTACGCAATTAATTGTTATCAATTATAAGACAGTACTATACATTCAGTAAAGAGCAATTACAGTTCGACCATACCGTACCATACCGTATGTCCCCGTCACAATTACACACTGGTGTAACGTGCAGGATATAATTACATAACAACACC